TCGGGTATCACGGCCACGGACCCTAGATAAGTGAAATAGATGATCAATCTCCTCCCTCTCTCGCTCTCTTCTCTCTCTCCTTTCCTCCCTCTCCCTCTCCCTCCCTCCCTCCCTCTCTCTCTCTCTCCCACTTCCTCTCTCCCCCCCCTCCTCTCCCCCCCCTCCTCTCTCTCTCTCCCCTTCCTCTCTCTCCCCCTTCCTCTCTCCCCCCCCTTCCTCTCTCTCTCTCTCCCCTTCCTCTCTCTCCCCCCCTTCCTCTCCCCCCCTTCCTCTCTCTCTCTCCCCCCTTCCTCTCTCTCTCTCCCCCCCCCTTCCTCTCTCTTTCTCCCCCCTTTCCTCTCTCTCTCCCCCCTTCCTTCTCTCTCTCTCTCCCCCCCTTCCTCTCTCTCTCTCCCCTTTCCTTTCTCTCTCCCCCCCTCCCCCCCCCTCTCTCTCCCCCCCCTCCCCCCCCCCCCCTTCCTCTCTCCCCCCCTTCCTCTCTCCCCCCCTTCCTCTCTCCCCCCCCTTCCTCTCTCCCCCCTTCCTTTCTCTCTCCCCCCTTCCTTTCTCTCCCCCTCCTCTCTCTCTCTCTCTCCCCCTCCTCTCTCTCTCTCCCCCTCCTCTCTCCCCTTCTCTCTCCCCCCTCTCTTTACATTGTACACAGATCTGACCCAACAAGGTGTCCTGCATTTACCGTATATTTCGCTCCATAAGACACACTTGGGGGAAATGTCTGTGCGTCTTATGGAGCGGCCGGCCCAGTATTCCCGCCGCCGTTGTATGTCCGCAGTCTCTGGTCATCTCCTGTACTGTGTCCGCATTTGTTCGTAGTTTTTTTTTTTTTTAAACTATAGTCCTGCCCTCCAATGGTCGGAGGGACAGTGAACTGGCCCCCTGTTTAAAAAGTTTGAGGACCCCTGGTATAGGAAATGATCAGAGACTGCAGACATGATACAAGAGATGGTCAGAGACTGTGGAGCATGCTATAAGAGATGGTCAGAGACTGCACACATGGTATAGGAGATGGTCAGAGACTGCACACATGGTATAGGAGATGATCAGAGACTGCACACATGGTATAAGAGATGATCAGAGACTGCACACATGGTATAGGGGATGATCAGAGACTGCACACATGGTATAGGAGATGATAAGAGACTGCACACATGGTATAGGAGATGATCAGAGACTGCACACATGGTATAGGAGATGATCAGAGTCTGCACACATGGTATAGGAGATGATCAGAGACTGCACACATGGTATAGGAGATGATCAGAGACTGCACACATGGTATAGGAGATGATCAGAGACTGCACACATGGTATAGGAGATGATCAGAGTCTGCACACATGGTATAGGAGATGATCAGAGACTGCACACATGGTATAGGAGATGATCAGAGACTGACTGCACACATGGTATATGAGATGATCAGAGACTGCACACATGGTATAGGAGATAATCAGAAACTGCAGACATGGTATAGGAGATGATCAGAGACTGCAGACATGGTATAGGAGATGATCAGAGACTGCAGACATGATGGGTAGCTGTATAAAAGAACTACTAGCAAGGTTACTCAAAAGAAGCCAACTAGGCAGTTCGGTCTGAATGTTACTTAGATGGCTCCTGCAGCTCTGGACCTCTGGTCTGGATTGGACTTGCCAGTTGGATGTAGGACATTTTTTGGTAGTTTTTTTTAGGAATGGGTGCTCCGGTTGGGCCCTCAGAGCACTTTATTGAGGAGTAGAAGGAAGAAAGTTCTTCACTACTTTTACAATCCAGAAATGATGGGTCACAAACATTGTCCAAAACAGCCAGCATGTTTCAGTGGTTTTTGAATCCCCCTTCTTAGGGCTTTATGACTTTTTAAAGTAGTTCTAAATTCATTTTTTTTTAATTTTAATGCATTCTCTGCATTAAGATAAAAAACCTTCCAATGCTAGTTCCCCCCCCCATCTTTTCTAAGGCCAGCCATACATGGATCGAAATTCGACCGATTTTTCATCTGAAAATCGCACCTAAGAATAATCGGCCGATTTTCTCTCTGTTAGTGGGTCAATGTACCGGCCGATTTTCATGGTTCCTCCCCTTTTCGTGATCAGGCATGTTGGAAAATTTGTGAAACTCTACCGATTTTCGACTCAATGATGGTCAAATCGTATGATCGTTTTTCCGAAAAGAATATGCGCGTGAGCCGTGACTTGGAAGGAACAGAAGTTTCGCCTGTTATATGGGGTGAACTTTATGGCTTGGTCGGCCGGTTTTCGAAATCATTGATGACACCGTTGGATTACCGAGCGAACAATGTTTTCGATTTTCGGATGAAAAATAATTTCGGAATTCGAACCATGTATGGCCTGCATTACACTTACCTGACCCCTCCATCGATCCAACACTGTGCCTGACTACAGGTCTTCTCTTTCCTCTCCCGGCTCTTACAGGCTTTGCTGAGAGCAGTGAGAGCCATTGGATTCTGCTGCTGTCAATCAAATCCTGTGAAGAGAGGGTGGGGCCGAGCCATGCTGTGTGTGTGTTTTTGGATGCACAGAGCCCAGCTCGGGAATGAGCCTGCAAGTGTGCCACCATAGGAAGCTGATAGCTATAGGGGCACACACAGAAGAGTGGGAGTGGATAGCACTGGCGAGGATCCCCAGAAGAGAAGGATAATGGCTGCTCTGTGCAATACCGTTGCACAGAGCTGGTAAATATAAACCTTTTTTAAAATTTTTTTGGTTAATAACTTTTTATTGCAAGCTTCCAAAAGAAAGTACAGAGTACACACATATCTCTCAGAGTAATGAAGTGTTCACACATAAACCTCTTTTTTATTTTAATTAAATTCAAAGATTAAAGTGGAATTCCAGACTAGAACTAACTAAGCTTAGAACTGATCCCCCCCCCTTCTGATACTAACTACCCTGTATATGAAAGATGCCTATACTTACCTAATCTCAGGGTGCTACGGTAATGATTGACTCTCAGCGGTCTGCTTCAGGGGAGAGGAGGGACAGCCGACAATGGATGCATTGTAAATACATAGTAAACCTATGGGTGAGGTCACTGCTCAGTCATTCCATTCATTTTAGTCATTCTCTCCTCTCCCCTGAAGCTGGCAGCCAGGGAGATCACATGACCAGACCATAGTGCTCTGAGAATAGGTAAGTATAGGCATCTTCCTTCTACAGGGGAGGTAGGATAGGAGTTAGAAGGTGGGTGGGCTCCGTTTTAAGTTAGTTTCAGCCTTGAAATCTACTTTTAAATGCTTCCGGTGTCTAGGGGGACACCTTGCTCCAGCAGTCTCCAGTGCTGTCTTCTCCCCAAAGCTCCGGGCTATGGGTGTCATCACATATAGTGCAGGACTATTAACCCTGCATAGTACTTGGAGGAAGAAGGTGTATGATAGTTGGGGGACCCTACAAGAGTGACATATTGGGTATCACACCTTTTTCGTGCATCCACAGACTTCAAACACCTGATGTAGAGCCTGAATACATGTTTTTTAGTTTAAAGGAACAGGCTATCTGGCTTTTGTGTTGATGGTTGGATATTAAAGATGAGAGCGAATTCAGGAGGGAAGGAGAAGGTTCCATATGGAGAGCACCTTATAAGCATAGTGACTTATGGAGAGTTCCTCAGTTTGAATTTTTTGCACTGTTCATTGCACTTACTGTTTTAAAGTGTTACTAAACCTAAAAAAGTAAAGCAGTCTGTATATGCAGTAAAGCATGATTGGTATACTCACTATGGAACCTAAGGGGTTAATCCTCCGCATTGTGTAAAAAGGCTGTTTGATCCTGTCCTCTCTGTTCCTTCTTTCACAGTCCCCAATCCATCTGCTGATAGTACAGAGCCCTAGGAGGCACTCTGCACATGTTCAATTTAATGTGTATTGCTAGAGAGGTTTTTTTTTTTTTTTTGGAGAGTGCATGTGATCAGCACAGAGCCAAACAGTACTGTCCAGACAGAGGGTCAGGGGTCATGCAGCCTCATAGGACAGTCAGAAGAAAATAATAAAATCCTCCTACAAGCTTTAACCAGTGCTCGGCTGGACACTGATAGAAGTCACAAGACTGCTATATACTACTGATGAGAAAAGGTGTTTAGAAGTTTATATTTACTAAAATAATTGCACTTCCATGTTCTGTGTACTGAGATCAGATATAGTGAATTCAGGGTCCTGGGTTTAGTAACACTTTAAGCACTGTATACCAGGGGTCTCCAAACTGCGGCCGAGGGCTGGATGTGGCCCTTTGCTACCCTTTATCTGGCCCTTGGGGTACTATTCCTCCCACTGAGACCAACAATGGGGCAGTACTTCTTCCCATGAAACCAATAGATGGGGTACTATTCTTCCAACTAATACAAAAAAAACCCAATGGTGGGGCACTACTCCTCTTACTGACCAACAACCCTGAGGCCATGTTTATTTTCACTGATGCTGGGGCCCAGGACATTTTCTATCCTCACTGGCCCTAATCCGGCCCTCCTAAATTCTGATGGACAGTATACTGGCCCTTTGTTTGAAAAGTTTGGAGACCTCCGCTGTATACAAACAAATCATGTATATTGGACTGTTCTTGGACTTGCACTAAATTTTATCCCATTAATCTTTTTAGCACTTTACATCAATAGATGTGATATATTAAGTACTTTATATGTTTGGTTTTCATATTTTGTTATCTTTAGCACAACACTGTTTTATTTGATTATACCAGTTAGTGATTTTTTTTTTACCTAGTTTGCTGCTTTGTTTGCTGCTGTGTTTGCTGTGTTTGCTGTGTTTCTGCTGTGTTTACTGCTTTGGAGTACACAATCTTTAGCTTTGTAGGTGAATTTGTTCTTTTCACACACACCTAGCTGTTTGACACAGTCACTCTTCCCCAAATAGGTAGGATTAAATAAAAAGTCACAATTTCACAAGAGCTATTGTATAAATGATATATATGTATGAGCTATTTCATATAGTTTAGATAAATGATAAATATTTGTATCTCTCTATCTGTCTTCCTCCTCAGGACCCATTCACTGCATTCCACATTGATAAGGAGCTGGTCCAGAAGCATATGAAATGCCTGCTGATTGGGGAGCTGGCACCTGGACAGCCTTGCGTGGAGCCCAGCAAGAATGTAAGGAGTCCACGTGTTCCTTAGCATAGCATTTCTCTGCCCTGTAATTTGTCTCCCCTTTTAGCAATGCTGAAGTTTGATGCTTTCTCCCACAGGCGGCTCTGGTGGAAGATTTCCGCACACTGCGCTCCACCGTGGAACAGATGGGTCTGCTTAATCCTAATAAATTATTTTTCCTTGGCGTTCTTCTGCACATTCTACTGCTGGATGCACTAGCCTGGCTGAATCTTTATTATTTTGGTCCTTCACTCATCCCATTCCTGATCACATCTTTGATCCTAGGCACTGTTCAGGTAATGATATCTCAGTGGCATCGAATTATTTCAGACTTTGAAAAGTATCACTGATTTCAGAGGATCCCATATTCATATTCTAGCTATGTAAATTATCAGGTGTTCAGTAAATGTTATCGTACAGCGTTGTCAAGGACAGGACTACATAACATTTCCTCCTCTGCTCTTCTAAAACACAGGGTGGATGTGTTCTGTAGTCCACGGAACTAGCTAGGCAGTGTTAACTGATAACAGTCAATACAGGCAGAGAGTACAGGAAGTCATCAACTCACAAGATTTCTGTTAGGACCAACAGGTATTTTTTGCCACATACCGAACAGGACTCACAAAACACCTTCAATGGTAAATTTAAAGTAAAACCATAGGCATTTTTTTAAATTTTGAATAGTGTAAGGGAGGGCTATAACCCCTGCTATTTTTTTTTTTTTGCCATCTGCGTCCCATTGGGGAGATTTACCTTGACTTCCTGTCCCATAGCCAGAACAGGAAGTGAGAGGAAATCCTTGCACATAAAGGGAATCTTTTGGGCCTTCCCAGATCACCTGAACTAGCGTCCCCATTGGAAGATTTCCTCTGTATTACTGTTCTAGGGACAACCCAAAGGTTGGGATTTTCTTTTACTTTCACTTTCAATGATCATGGTAAACAGGACAAATAAAGAGGGTGAATCTCCCTAACGGGGGCACAGACAGCGCAAAAAACTGACAGGTTTTCTAGACCTTCTCCACTCTGTTGAAAACGGGAAAAAAAAATGTGCCTGTAGGTATGCTTTAAAGGCTAGCAGGAGCAGATTTCTCACTGATAAGATTTACAAACACTTAACACACATACATTTGCATTTCTCTGCATGCTTTTTGACCTGTCATGCCAGTGTAAAGAAGCTGCCATTACTCAACTTTTCTCTGACAATGCTAGTTGCCTGCTGGTCATTCTGATTGACTGACTTACTAAAATCCCCCTTCTGTGAGCATATCCCTGCCATGCTCCATGCAACTACTGGCGGGTGCTGCCAGGTAGCAGGGAGTGAGATCAACGGACATTTGTCCGCTGATCTTCTTTTCCTGCTAATTACCCAGAAACGACATGATTGGGGAAGAAGCTAAGAAGTTAATGGAGTGTAATTAGTCCTCCACTAGATTCATTGGAGGGCAGGTGAGACCCCTGATATCTCACTACCTGTCACCAAAAGAAGAAAAAAAAAGCATATATAGGATTTTTTTTTTTGTCCCCCATGTGTTGAAAAATAAAATGTAGTGAAAAAAAGTGTAACCCCTGGTTCACATCTATGCGGCCGCGTGGGCCGCATTTTGCAGGGGCATGAGAGCCCATTCATTTGAATGGACTCAAGTGCCCGTGACACGCAGGGAAGAAGTCCCTGCATTTCTTTGGAAAATGCAGCCCGCACGGGAACCTCGGTTCCCAGTACAGTTGCTTTTTCCAGTGCACGGCGTGCCATTAGAACTATTGGCACCCGCCCGCGGGTCTGCATTTCTCTGCGGGTGGTGCGGCTGCACAGATTTTCGTGTGGATCTGCAGCGGCACCACCTGCACAGATGTGAACCTAGGGTAAAAAAAATTACACCCAAGCATGTAACCCCCCTCCCTCACATGCACAAACATAAATACACATGTTGGGAGTGCCTATGTATGAAAACAATCTCAATACACATACTTCACATCACCCAGCATGTCGGAATGAGAATGAGAGCAATAATTCTAGGCCCATTATTCATGATTGACTCTAAACTGATGACCTGTAGGGGCTGTTAAATATAAGGTTTTGAGGTTTGTCACTGTTTCATGGGTACACACAATTTTAAGTCTTGACATGTTGCGTATTTATTTACTCATCGAAACCTCATCTTTTAAATTTACTCCCAAAAAATGGATGCCATATTGCGATTGTGTGCGCCAAAATTAACTTTAGTGGAATTTTGTGTTTCAGAAATCGCTGCTCTACGATTCTGTGACATAGAAATTTAAGATACCACTTTTTTAATTCTACAGGGTCTCTACTTTTAGAAAATGATATAATGTTTGGGGGTTTTACTATACTTCAGACCTAAAATAAGTTTTTAAAACACATGTGCAAAAAAACCATAAAAGCTGTTCTGGCAGTGAAAGGGTTAAAGGAAACCTGTTAGGACAGAAATATGTATGCTGCCAATGATGACCTGATTTTAGAAAAAAAGTTATTTGTTTGTCATGGTGATCTTATAGCTTAAATATTTTCTGAGTTGCTGGTGTAGAACAAGTACAGGGTTCTGACTTCCCTTGCTACATACACGTTCCAGGTCACTGACCGATGGAGTAGCATGATAATGAGGCAGCTGGCATTTTCATAAGGTCAGCAGTGATATCCCAAATAATGCTTTTTATGACCCGTTTCCTTTAGCAAAGCTAGTAGATTGCAGAGTAGGAGTTCTTTTTTATGCATGGTATTTGTGGCATATGGCATCTTTCTTTTATCAGTTACATCAGCTACTATGCATGTAAAAGACCCGTAATATGCATTTGGGTTTCTACCCGGAACTTCCCCTCCACCCTGTGCATTCAATGTTGATCAGAAATGAACTAAACAAAACTTTGACCATCTCTGTGTGTCTGGGAAGGCTGTCATAGAACGCAACACTGTGGGGGCATGACATCATCCAAATCTTTTTTTTTTTTTCACAGTTATTAGTAGAATTTACTTTTATTATTATTACAGGTACTTATATAGTGCTGACAATTTACATATATAATATATATATATATATATATTGCACATTCACATCAGTCCCTAACCTCAAGGGGTTTACAATCTAAGGTCCCTAACTTACATTCATACATACATATACTAGGGCCAATTTAGACAGGAGCCAATTAACCTACCAGCATGTCTTTGGAGTGTGGGAGCAAACTGGAGTACCCGGAGGAAACCCATGCAGGCACAGGGAGAACATGCAAACTCCAGGCAGGTGGTGCCGTGGTTGGGATTCGATCCAATGAGCCTAATACTGCCAGGCAGAACTGCTAACCATTTAGCCACTGTGCTGCCCATATACAGTCCTCTTCCAAAAAGAAAAACAATTGTATTTTGTCAGGGCAAGTCCAGTAAAACATGAAAATATGTTATGTAATAGAGGTGATCCTGCTTTGGGGGCCAAAGGTTGTTTGCCTGCACACCGCATTGATGGAAATTCAACCCTGAGTATGGCAGAGCAGTGTTTAAAGGCTAAATTCACCTTTCTGAATATATTACATATTACACCTGTATTTAGGGTGTAATATGTTTAGCATGCACCCCTAGCCCCCCCCCTTCCCGACGTGACAGCGGGATAGAGATCCTCTCCCCCCCTCCACTTGCTGTCACAATTTGGGCTGCACCCACACAGCCATGCCATTCATTCACGGTTTCCTGTGAACTAATGGACTACAAATACCGTCAGCCATTGCAACTGACGGCTTGTAGTCTTCAATGAACTGCGAAGGTGCTACTGAGTTGTTGTTTATTGATCTTCCTACTATTAAGGCTACTTTCACACTCAGGAGTTTTTGAAGTGTTTTTTTTGCGTTGAAAAAGCACCAGAAAAGCTCAAGAAAACAATGCTTCCTTATGTATGTTTTCACACTGGGGCTTTGTGCTTCCATTGCGGTGTAAAAAACTCCTCCTTGCAGCATCTTTGGAGCAGGTTTGTTCAGTTAAAAAAAAAAAAACACCTTTCCACTGAAATCAATGGAAAACACCTGAAAAATGCCTGAAAAGCACCTCAAAAACGCCTCTTAGAAGCCTTTTTGGTGCAGTTTTTAAGTCACGTGTCCTTTAAAAAAACGCTCAGAAAGCATGGCAAACGCCTATGCATTTTTGCTGTGTTTTTGTGGCAGATCCATGTTAAAGTAGCCTAAGTAACTGCCTGCTCCTACAGAGGTATGGGTTGACATCTATCCTGAAAGTGATCAGGGGCCTGAGATTGCACAGATCGCTGGTGCAATGTTTTGCTGGCTCCTTAGAAAAATAAATAAATAAATGCACTTTTTTTTTTTTACCTGCAAGAAAATGTGCTGTTATTTATTTATTTTTTTCAAAAGGTGAACATAGTCTTTAAGTCATGATTTGCATAGTTGGGTTTCAAAAGTCCATCTAGTTCAACCAGTTGAGGCAATGTGCAGTATGTCTTTCTTTACATTTGACATTGATTGACACTTTCTCACCATTCTTTCTCAGGCTCAGGCCGGGTGGTTGCAACATGACTTTGGCCACCTGTCAGTTTTCAGCAAATCAAAGTGGAATCACCTAGTACATCAATTTGTGATTGGACAATTGAAGGTGAGTGTGATTGGTATTGAGTTATATAAACTGTATGATTGTAATAATAACTCAGTATATATGTGCCTGCTGACTGTGTGTCTCTATCTTCTGGTGGGGTTTGCTGTATTTGATCATTTTGTAGTGATTCTTGTTACTGTACGGTATATATTTTCATGAAGATCTTCAATAATTTAATTTGCTTTGCATGCTGTCAGTGTATAGAATTTCTGTGTCTGCTGTTTTCATTACTTTAAGAGCTCACCATGTGCCAATATTCAAGCTATTTCTGTCTCTGATTATTTTTCTATGGCTTCTATGTGTAATCTCCCCCTTTTCCTGGCACAGGGTGCTCCTGCCAGCTGGTGGAATCACTTGCATTTCCAGCATCATGCCAAACCCAACTGCTTTCGCAAGGACCCGGATATTAATATGCACCCACTTTTCTTTGCACTGGGCAAGAAGCTATCAGTAGAGGTAAGAAAATATATTAGTGGTTATGCATGAGAAATAGTAAATGTGGTAACACCTGCTCTATGTAGATATGGAAAAAAAAAAATCACAATTCCAGCTATGTATCTAAAATGTATATTTTTTACATATAACTATTAGACTTTATCTTTATACTAACTTGAAATATCCTGAACATCAGCATTCACACTTTGAGAGGGTGGGGCTTGACTGAGAAACAGTTAGGATTTTTCACGGTGTTGTCAAACACTGTGAGCATGCTTATTGAGAACAGGGCTACGTCATCAATGTGCAGCTGCTCTGTTATTATCCTTGCAAAGGCTTGGATGGGTGATTGGCCACGCTGTATTGCCTAACTGCAGTAGAGAAAATTTGAGGTCACTGGCCTGGCTGTGCTGTTTCACAGGGGTGCCTAAATCACAAGACTGAATGAAGTGATTCATAACTCCTCTGGCTGTTAACATAATTCACATATATGTAATTTATCTGTGTATCTAGCCAAAGGCATGATTTCATGTTTAACTAGTATAGTGCATTAATGAAATAGCTAGTTGGAGAAAAATATCTTGTTAGAAAAAAATGTCTGCACTTCTCTGTTCTGAACCTAGATTTAGTGTTGTGACACAATTGTGCTTCTACATGAAAAAAATTGCCCAGCCAAATAAAACACATCTGTCATGTATGAAGAGTGCTCAGACTGCATGCAGCATTTACATATGTGACATCCATCATATTAAGTAGAATAATTATATTAAGAATGGACTATTAAGATTCAAGTATACTGGAAAATATTGTATGATCTGATTGTTTCACTCATTTAGTCTCATACACACTGGACTTTTTTTCAGCTGCCCCTAGGGGTATCTGGTGTTTTTTATTCTGACTCTAAACATCCCTGCATGTTAGCCTATCTGTCCATGCACACATAGGCTTTTAGAAGAGTTTAGAGGCAGAAAAAAAACACTGCCAGTGTGTCCAGGAGTAGCAGCATTTTGGCAAAAAAAAAATGCTTGGTGTCAAACACGTCAAAATACACCCAAGCAATATGTGCGCTTAGCACTTGAGTGTTAATTCATTTTAATGGCCAGAATAAATTATTCTGCCCACTGAAATCAATTAACACCCAAGCACTTGATGCACCTAAACGTGTTCAGCACTTTTACAGGCGCCGGGCATTTTTACTGCCAAAATTCTGCTGCTAGAAGGAAAGGCTTCTAGAAGAGTTAAACGTCTTGTGTGCATGAGGCCTTATAACGAAATGGTATAAATAAATGAAAAAAAAAACCCCTGTGGCAAAAAAAATATTAATATTAAAATATATATGTGTATCCTAAATTCAAATACTGTTGCTCTTTCTCAAAAAACAATATAGTGAAAATATAAAACACAGCAATAATTTTTGCACTGTATTTTATATTTATAATGAAATGGGAATGCTCAGATATACTCATGGCTACCCAGAATCTTATGGTCATTGGAGTTCATCAATATGTTTGATTCTTCCACAGCTTGGAGTTAAAAAAAAGAAATATATGCCATATAATCACCAGCACAAGTACTTCTTTCTGAGTGAGTATACATACATTACCTACATACAGAAGATCATTGATCAATCAGTTACCTACTAGTATGAAATTCTGCTTTTTTTTTTTTCCCTGTTTGTAGTTGGTCCTCCAGCGCTGCTTCCCGTCTACTTTCAGTGGTATATTTTCTACTTTGCTGTCCAGCGCAAGAAGTGGGCAGTGAGTACAACTTTAATCGGGAGCAATGTTGTGGTTCGAAATCTTTCATGATCGAAACAGTGTGGGATAACTATACATGTTGCCAATAGCAACTAATCATAACCTCCCTTTTGTGTTTCTCTGGCATATTAAAAAATGAGAAGGAGAATCTGATTGGCAGTGATGGTCAATACAGGCGGGCCTTCTTTATAAGATTTGAAATAGAATGTGACGGAGTCATTTCTCCTTCCAGGATTTGGCGTGGATGATTTCATTCTACGTGAGTTTGCCTTTTGTTATTTCCCTCTACTTGGGATTGGTGGCACAATCAGCATGTTCATGTTAGTCAGGTACGTAATTATGATATTACAGGATTAGAAAAGCCAAATGAATAGAATGAAATGAGTTAGGGGTGACTCAGGCTATTGTAACTAATGTGTTGTTGTGGAGCTTTTAGAACTGTAGAATTTTACTGTTGTTTATTGGGCATGTGGAGACAAACTGCCTTTACTGAAAGACAACTATGTCATAGGTGAAAGTTTCAAGCATCAGAGAAAGAGAACAATCCAAAGGCCCCATTCACACTGCTAAATCAGCCATAGTGTGGCAAGTATCTTCCAGAAAGCTGCAGCCAGAAGCCCAGGTGTGTGCAGACAGCCATGTTTGGGAAGCCTGAACAAAGCAATGACAGGCTGACAACAGCCCAACAAAGAGATTGTGAAAAGAGATTCACAAGAAAGCGGCTACATTATGGACAGAATGCGATACTTGGAAAAATTTCCCAAAAATTATGCTTTATTAAACATTAATGATAGACAATAGGGCAATCACCCTAGTTTACCATCACCTCAGTATGAGACAATACACACAGACTGAAAACCATTTAAAACCACATCAAGACCGGTCTGGATATATATGTGCTGCAGAGACAATGACAAACCTTGTCTAAAGCATTTGCAGCACCGCACATTGGTTACACTCCCTGTAGGAGGTATTTCAAAAATGACACCAACGATGGGCATTGTACCATAGGTATATATAATATATAATATAATTGTCACATGCTATGCATAATAGCTAATACAGTTGCCATGTGGAGAGAAACATAACCCTTAGCCTATTCAAGGCAATATGGGTAAAAAATTACATAAAGGGGGGATATACCCCCAATAATATGAATATAAATTCATGCAGTACAACCCTATTGAGGCACATGTGATTGGGGCCCATCTACCCTTGGTAGATGCAAATAGTTGCAGAAATTCTTATAAATGGAGGAGTCCCTGTTGATGTCCTTGATGGGATAATAGATGTAGATAGCAGAGCCCTGCTTTATATGTTTTCTTCACCACAACGTGTGGACTATAAACCACTTTGATATACGTGATGGAATGAGGCCCAATGGGTCTTCCGTTTGTTGCAATATATGTTGTATGCCTTGCATCTAGATAATGCATCATAATGTCCCCATCCTGAAATAAGACAATGATATAGGGACAGTCAATCTGGGTACTCCCACTCTGATGTATATAATAGGTAACAAGAACAAAGAAGCTTTTAGAATTGTAGAATTTTACTGTTGTTTATTGGGCATGTGGAGACAAACTGCCTTTACTGAAAGACGACTATGTCATAGGTGAAAGTTTCAAGCATCAGAGAAAGAGAAAAACCCAAAGGCCCCATTCACACTGCTAAATCAGCCATAGTGTGGCAAGTATCTTCCAGAAAGCTGCAGCCAGAAGCCCAGGTGTGTGCAGACAGCCATGTTTGGGAAGCCTGAACAAAGCAATGACAGGCTGACAACAGCCGCAGCTGTCTGCTGGTCTTCATCAGTAATCACATTGGGAGCGATTACCTGTGTTTAGGGACAGATGATCGCTGTGGACGCAAGCATCTCACAAATTAAATACTCCCATGGTGTACTATATTATTGAAATTTGAACTCTTGCAAAAAAAAGTCTGTTTATCTGTTTGGGTATTTCTACCTTTCTGATTTAAATCATCTAAGGATCAGAGTATTCCATACCCTATGACGTAGGTTGTGTCTGAAGGTATTTCAACAAGAGGGCCCCAGTTTGATTCTTGCCCAGGACCCCAATTTATCTAAATACAAATCTACCAGACAGACCTGGTGGTCAGTATAGAAGTGACCTCTTACATTGGTGGTCACTGCTCACAGAACCCCTAGCAACCTTAGGAGGGTCCTTGGTTGAGAAAAGTTGCCCTTCTCTATCCAAAACGAAAAAAAAAAAAACAAATTCCCCATAGATCCCCAGTCAGTTTTACTATTGATTTGAATAATATAGACTTGATAGATTTAATTTCCTTTTTCATACATGATAAATGAAAGGGGAGTTATTGACCATACTTCTTCTGTGGGTTTACAGGAATGCATTTAGTTCTGCACTCCTATGACCCAGCTGCTGACAGCTAATGTCACAGTGCCGGTCCAGGCTCTGCAGGAAGCCCAACATTAATATCAGGATGTGCCCAGATGCCTGACCAGCAGCCTGAACCAGCCGCTTCCACCTCCTTCACAACCCTGTGCTCCAGTGAACAAGGAGGAACAGAGCAGAGAGCCGGAGACTGACAATCACTTTTGCCCTCTGCTCACTGAAAACTGAGAATTGAGAGATCAGCAGTCTTTGATCGCTCAGTTCTTGGTGTAGAGGCGGCTGGGGACAGCTAGGTGAGTATGTACGTTTATTTTTTTAAATCCATAGTTCTTTTTAATACAGATACAAATCATCCTTCGTTGTTACTGTAATATGTCAAGTGAAAGCATGATTGAATTGCAAAGGCAATGGTAATATGATTCTCATGTATTTTACTATATTCTAGGTTCCTGGAGAGTAACTGGTTTGTGTGGGTGACACAGATGAACCACATTCCAATGAATATAGACTACGATCAGAATAAGGAATGGCTTTCTACACAGGTAACCTTTATTATCTATGTTTCTCTCTATGCATATATAATATTTTGACATCATACTGATTTTTTTATGACTACATTATAAAATGAACTATGAAAGACCACTGCAGAGTTTGGTAAGCTCATCACCTGTACAAGAACACTCATTTTGATATTTTTAACCAATGAAACAAAATATCAGTGAGCATGATCCGAGCCTTTTCCAGTTGAGATTAGTGTGATCTTCAAGCAGCTGTATTTACTGTACATTTCACATTTCAAAAATAGGTCACAGATGGAAGCCATAGGAAAAACAGAAGTGAACAGAGAATCATTTGTAGTGGTATCTGGTACTTGTAAATGTATTATTAAAGCAGAACTTCACTAAGAATTTAAAGTTCCACTCAATCTCCTCCTCCCTCCCTCTTCTGCCATTAATCTAAACAGATTAACAAATTGTTTTCTGAGAATGGGTGCCTGCTTCTGGCAGGTACCCACTCCCACTTCCTCTCTGCTCGCCTAGGTGAGCAGAGTGGAGGTTCGCCCCCTACCTGCAACCTCTTGTGACACGTCACTGGTTCCAGGAGACTGCGGGACTATTCGGAAAGCATGCCTGTGCAATGGGGAGTCTGCAGGAAGTCACAACCAGCTTACCACTCAAGATGGCGGCACTGGGGGGCTAAAAGACAGGTAAAAAACCAGCTTAGGTGATGACAGTGCTGGACTCCTAAGCTGGTGAGTTTATTAAACATTAGCAGCTACAGTATTTGTAGCTGCTGACTTTTAATTGTTCTACCAACGACTGGAGATCCTCTTTAATTGGCTCAGATAGCATTGATTATAATTGAGTAATCCCCAAACCCTGAAAATGTTTGATGACTGCCTTCCATGGCACTGTACTTTACTTCAGTTTTCTTTCTCCCACCCAGCTGCAAGCCACTTGTAATGTGGACCAGTCTCTGTTTAACGATTGGTTCAGTGGACATCTCAATTTTCAAATTGAACATCAGTAAGTATATGAGGCAGGGCCTAAGCTGCTTTATCATCTTCTTATAACAGTTTTAATAATGACTGCTTTTTATTTTCAGTTTATTTCCCACAATGCCGAGACACAATTACTGGAAGGTCGCTCCTCTTGTTCTCTCACTTTGCAAGAAGTATGGCATCGAGTACCAGTCCAAACCACTGTTTACTGCATTTGCTGATATAGTTCAGTAAGTGACATTACTTACAGGTTTTACTCTTAGCATATAACTCCGTAGCACTTGGCTGTTGCATCTGGGCCAACTGATGCAAACTGCTTACTTGTTGGCAATTAACCGCGCTTTTGTCAGCTGAGACTATTTTGCTTCACATCGGCAAGAAAGTCCTGTCAGCTGCATCATGAAAAGAGACAACATACACCTATTGGAGTAGATACAGTAGTACTAACATGTACAACTATGTGTAACCACTTGAAGACCAAGCATTTTCTGGCACTTTTTTGTTTACGTGTGTTTTTTTTTTTTTTTTTATACAAGTTTATTGAACAGAACAAAAAATAAGTATCAGAGTATCTGTGTCACACTTACAGCATACAGCAATTGGCATGTAGAAGCATGTACATACAAGTACTGCAATGATTTGTTCAGATTGGAAGAGATATATAAGTTCAGCAAATAACCCATCATGGACCAACAGGAGGGAGTATCATATCAGCGACATATTACCCAGGAGCAGATTCAAGTTTGATCTATCTGTAAGGGTAGGGCATACATCTAGGGTTTCCAACCACAGCCTAACAGAGTTGGGAGCACCAGTTCTACTGGAGCTGAGCCAAGTACTGACAGTTAGCCAGCCCATAATTTGCCAAATTTAGGTGGGCATCCCCTGTGTTGGTATATTAGTTTTTCATAGTGCAGGGTGGTATTCATATTGGCAATCCAATCCTGTGTAAAGGGGGCAAGGCGCTCTTCCAGCACATCAGTAGCACCTTGTAAGGATGGGGGCACTTTAATTTTTTTTATTTATTTTATTTTTACACGGTCCCTTTTTATTATTATTATTTTTTTTTTTAAACTTCCCTTGCAATAGAAATAAAGATGACAGGTTCTTTCTAAGGAGAGATCTGGGGTCAAAAAGTCCCCAGATCTCTCCTTTACCTTTAAAAGCAAAGGTCA